CTCTTCGGGTACCCTAGTATTGGTCTCCAACAGTGACGATCACAAAGACGAGCCAACCCTCGACAGGACCCCTACTACGAGCGGGGGCTCCAGGGAAGTTGGACTCGCAAGGAGACCAAACGCACGGTCGTAGTATGACGACGAACCGATCGGATCTTAGGGGACCGGAATCAAGAAGAATCTTTCCGACCTCCCAAATCCTATGGTCACATGCCCCCTAGAAGACCGATTGCGACAAAATGGAATCGCCGTCCTACCAGGACACGCCGCGGGCTACAAAAGGAAGGACAAGGCCCTCAGAATCCTCCCATTCGGAAAAGCCTCCAAAGGAGTATTCTACTCCTCCGTAGGCTCAGGGCTACTGTCGGGTATCGATATTAGGAATACTCAAAGCAAGGAAGTTAGCGCCCACGCTGACTTTCTCGGATGGCTCGAGATGTATTAAAATGTCTTGCCTGACCCCAAGTCTGTGGGCTCCGTCTCGCCCGACCTCAAGGCCGCAGTCTCTGTCTCGCCCGACCTCAAGGACGCGGGCTCCGTCTCGCCCGACCTCAAGGGTGCGGGCTCCGTCTCGCCCGACCCCAAGGACGCGGGCTCCATCTCGCCCGATCTCAAGGCCGCGGGCTCTGTCTCGCGCCGACCCCATGGGTGCGGGCTCCGTCTCGCCCAAGGTCGCGCGCTCCGTCTTGTTCGACCTCGAGGACATGGGTTCCGTCTCGTCCGACGGGAACCCATACCACCGCCAACCACTCTAGGTCCAAGCGTATGGGCCTGGGTCAAAACTCAGACGCCAGGGAAGAGGCTGGTACGCCTCGATGTAACCCGTGGCCATGATAGGCCATACCCGGGAATTCACATCAAGAACAGTGTCGGACGTGCCGATGTTGTTCTGCCTAATCCTCGTACGAACGCTAACAGACGCGTCAGTTTACCACGACGTCCGCCGGGACGGAGTGGAACGCCATGACCGGCAGATGACGCCTGCGCATGGCGCCAGTGACGAACAGGGACGCCATATGGAGCCGTCCCTATTATCATCTACAGAATCAGCGGGACCCGCATAAAGAAGAAGAAGGACCCGACAATCCTGTAAGCCTTCATCTCTCTCTTGTTCTTTTTTTCCTTCTCTGTAACCCGCGCTTCCCCTTCGCCTATAAAAGAGGAAGCAGGACGCCCCACGCGGGAAGGGGGATCCAAACACAAAAGAGCACGATACGAGCACACAGCTGAACGGCAATCGAGCTCTCAGCACCCGTTCACTCCATCCACCAGTGACTTTGGATCATTTCCCTCTCTCGCCTATTTGTAACCCCTACTGCAAACCAAGTGCCGGTAACACGAGCAGCAGCAGCGAACTGGACGTAGGGATGTTCTGCCCGAACCAGTATAAATCCTTGTGTCCTCCGAGCACACCATCCGAGCCAGACGCACAAATACAAATTTACTCGTCGGTGGTCCAAAAACACCGACAGTTGTTCTTGTGATTAGGCTAATTAAGATCCTATATAAGTGATAATATCTAACAATAAGATAATAGTTCTCCCGTAATAAATGTCATGATGATGATTATTTATATATTTTTATCTTATACAACTCGTCTTCATGCGAGCAACCAAACAGGTCCTCGGGACAACCTGGCTCATGCAAACAGGCAACCAAACACCACGCTCTTGCATACATTGGGCCTGGCTACCGAGAGCCAGGCTCCTCCCATGCGAGCCAGGATGAGTTCATCTACGAACCAAAGAGACCCTAACTCAAATAATTGGACCATGAATTCCTGCTAAAAATAAGAATTTACATGACTTTCACTATAGTTATAGGGCTATCTAATCAACTCTAGAAGTTTTGGTGACTATGCGTATGCAAGAATATACCATGTAAAAATGAGCAAAAATGGACACTCTGCACTTACCACTGGAATTTCGCTAGGACGAACTTCACAACAATGCGACACAATATTGCTCCACCGGAGGCCTAGTTGATTCTTCTAAACAACTTGAAAAGATATATGTTAATTCTTCTTTGTGCAAAATCTTCAAGCCAACTCTTGCCAAAATTGAGCTTTCTTACCACCTCGATCAATTCAAACTATTAACAGCTTGTTTGGTTTGGCAGATCGTCCGGTCCAGAATGATACGATCCTAAGACTGAACCTGTGATGTTTGTTTGGTTTGCCTCGTCTGTGCCGCTAAGCTCCAGCAGCGCCCTGCAATCTTCGTTTTTCTTCTGAAGCGAACAACCATGCGTCCGTGCCCTTACATGTCAAACTAAACGCAGATTAACACAGCAATCACAGGGTTGCTTTGAAGTCCACCGGTTGGCGCCCTTCGTCTCATAGCTTTGCTGTCCTCTGATTAACACAACAATTTTTAAAACCCATTTCCATGGCATCCTCATCATGTTACAAAGGTACAAACCAGCCAACCCAGATGCCAAGTTACTAAACTAAACTAATCCACCATTGAGCGAGAACAAACGTCAACATGCATCAACCAATGCAGCAATCGTGATCATTAGCACTGTCCAGCTTTATATCTGAAACAAATCAAGATCACCCATCAAATAATAATCACCGTCACATGCATCCATGGTTACGGGAAGCTTAACGCTCTAATAATTTAGTGAACGTTTTCTCGTTCAAAAAAAATAAAACTCAGTAAATTATCGAAGGAAGCCAGAGACTGGAATGGTTCCCCACCCAACCGAACAAGGCCTAAGCATGCATTCATCAGCCGCGCGCTCGTCGTCGCTGCAGAGTGTAGCTGGATCGTTTGAGTTCAGGTTTATTTGGTTTGCATTATTCGTACTACTAGCTGGTCTGTATGCATGTGTTTATGCATGCGATGGCCACGCACGTAGCTCCTGTTGTTTGATCGGCTTTGGCTTCCGTTGCTTGTATTGATTTCCGTTTTCCGATCTGTCTGTGTCTGGTTCAGGACCCGTTCGTTTGCCAGAGAACGGTTCCCAGGATTAATTTCTAGTCGGAATGATATTCTATTTTATATAGTATTTGATCATCTGGATGGATTCCTGGTGAAATCTAGCATAATCGAAGGAGGCCTTAATCGTTTTGCATTCGATCGGTGTGTATGAATAAATAAAGACTTTTATCTGTTCATCAGTACGTACATAGTACATGTTCTAAATTCGATTCAGCTTGTACCGTATTCTTAATGCAGTGCGTACGTGAGACGTGCCCTGTGCAAACTATGCTAATTTGCGCGTAAGCGTACGTAATGGATGCATTCGTTCTCTGGTATTACAAGTAGCACACAGCAAGACCGAGAATAGGATGGACCCGTCCCACCCTCCTGACCCGTCCCTTCCTCCCCACGACGACAGCGGCGCCGCCCGCTGTCGGGCCTCCACCTAGGAGCATACCCACCCCTTCCTAGCACGGATCTGATCCCCTCGACCTGATCTATCCATCCATGGGGTCGGTGGAGGGGTTCCGACGCTCCTTGGCGAGCCCACCTCTCCGGAGTGTGACCCTGGAACCGGCGCCTCCCCTCAGCCCAGCCCGTCGGAGGCCACTCAAGCGTTGGCGGCTAGCGCCAGCCCCTTCCCTAACCCCAATCCCAGCCTGCCTGTTTCCACGAGCGAGGAAGCCGCGCCCATGACTAGGACGTAGCTGTTGGAGGATGAGGTCATCGTCGAGGACGTCTTGGAAGACGAGGACGAAGATGAAGACGATGCGGCTCCTGCCCCCGCGACCGCCGCCAACCTCCTCCACAGCGTGCACGTGGCGTGGGCGCTGCCGCCGTCGACCGCTTCGCCATCGTCACTGTGGCCCTTCTCCGAGGCCGTCAAAATCCCTCTCCCCCCACACTGCCCCCTTCCATCCTGGAGGCAGCTCGGTGGGGCACTCCAAGGCTAGTCACTGGGCAGACGCTGACCTCGGCGCGGGCAGCTCCGACAATGAGCCCACTCATGCTGCCACGCGCCCGTCGTACCTGGACGCCGCTCGCAAGGCTCTTCGGGCCACGCCTCCCACACCAGCGGGGGCTCTGAACGCGGCGCAGCGTGTAGCCGCCGTCAAGGGAACTCACCCGGTGCCTGCAAGGGGGAAGTGGCGTCATCATCGTAGGACCAGTGGGCCTGATGGCATTGGGACACCGCCGCCGCAGGCCACGCGTGTGCCCGCGCTGCGTCGCCTTGGCCCATAGCAGGCGGCAAGGGTCCCGGTGCATCTGCGCCTCGACCCACGCCATAGGGCGTCGGTGCCTGGCGTGTCTCGACGGCCCCGTCGAGGGCCCAACATCGACGCCGATGGTTTCCAGACTATCGAGAGTCGTCGCCACCGGCGCTGTCCGGGGAAGGCGGCACCCAAACGCCACCGCCCCGTCCCGCCGGAGCTTGTGGGTCTCTGCTTCAACTGCCTCGCGCACGACCACATCGCCGCTCAATGTCGCTCTCTGTCCCGCTGCTTCCGCTGCCGGGGTACCGGCCATCGGGCTAGGGCGTGCACGCGCGGCCGTTCACCGGCGTGCAAGCGAGTGCAATCGTCGGCGTGCAAGCCTTCGTCCTCGCTGGCACGTTGCCCCAGCCAGATTGCCTATAAGGGACGTCGCACCACTGGTCCGAGGCGTCCCAGCTCGTTGTCAGAATGTCGCGCCGCGTAAGGCCAGATACCGACAAAGTTTTTGCCTTGTGTGCAGCGGCCGACCGCGTCGTCATCGTCGCCACAGCAGCAGCACAACAGCAGCCTGCTGGTATCCCCACCTCTGGGTGACGTTAATAACCGTCCCAAGGTCGAGGTATTCGTCGTCTAGAGGAACGTGGACCTTGCCGCTTCTGGTGCGGACCTCCCCCTGTTCTTGTCGCACTTGTTGGCGGAAACTAGCCAGCCGCCACGCGCGGAGGAGTTCCTGGCGCACCTTTACTCGAAGTTCCATATGTCTGTGGGAGCGGCCAGGGCTTGTGCTTGGCTCGGAGGCCCCGTTGCACATGAGTGTCGGCAGGACGACCACTCTTGCGTTGATATGCAGGGAGGCAAAATGCAGATACAAATAGTGCACCAGGAGCCTGAGCTCGCAGTGGACCGTTGCTTGGGGGTTCAGCGTTGGGACTTCGATCCCATGCTGGTTGAGGTGGAGGCAGGTCTCATGAGCCAGGCCATGTCAGAGGTGGCCCTGGCGGTGGACCTGTGCCTTTCAGGCTCAGACGAGTGCGGCTTGGGCCAAACCTCACCAAGTCCATCACTCCTGGAGTCGGAGCAGGCTGGGGGATCCCTACCCCCGGTCCAGGTCGACTTCCCCAGCAGCCGGGAAGATGCAGACGAAGGCGGTTCAGCCATGCCGGCTGTTGATGGCGGAGTGCCTCACGCAACGGCCACGATGTCGATTCAGGAGAGTTTGGAGGAGCGGCTCTACCTTCCTTTGCATACGCCCCTCATCCACGGGCCGCCAAGGTTGCGCAAGCCTCGAACGTCGGCCCCCATTACGTCGCTGCGGCGCAGTGACCGCATTGCTACTAAGCCGCGCGAGGCAGACTCCACCAAGCAGGCTCAGTGTGTTCTCATGCAGAAACTGGGAATAGTGGCACCATCGTCCAATGTCGACTCTGAGACGGTGCGCAAGTAAAAGGCTACCTTCAGGACGCCGCTGTCGGACTCCACCTAGGAGGGACTGCAGCTTCTTTTTGACGGGGAGTTCGACCCAGTGGCCATGAACTTGGATATGGTCAGGTTGGACGAGGTGGCCAACTAGCCCCTTCGCCACCAGCACCACTGTCGCTCAGTAGTTATGTTTATTGTGTAATTACAACCACGTGTGAGTTTGGTAAGGGTGAAGGGTGTGGGTTTCGGTAATCTTTGGATTACCGTAACTTAGACACCGATTGTGACAAAACTTCTTTATTCTGCTTAATGAAAAAACGTGCTAAAGCACGGTCTTGAAAAAAAAATAGCACACAGCAAGAGAAATGTGAAGGATCTATTCCCAGCCACATCAGTGCTCTCAAGTCTGACCAGGTTCGATCTGAATGTGCACGAGCACGAGAGAAAAGTAGTCGCAGCAGCTAGCTCCCCAATGGCACACGCCGTACGTACACGTACGCGCACGTTGCTGTACCTGGGAAATTCGTGTTCTACTAGGTTCAGTTCCAACGGCTACGGCGAGGGAGGCTGGCAGGCTGTTGCGGGACGCGCTTCGCCACGGGTTCTCTCTCTTCCTGGGCCTGCGGCCTATGGTGCCGTTTGTTTCCGCTTCTCCTGGCAAGCTTGATTATAATCTAAGTTAAGATTTTCTCGCTTCTCGTTTTTCGCTTCTCGTAGTTTAAATCTCTGAAGCGGCTTACCACATAAGCGAGAATCGGTGGAAATAAGCAAAGCGTTTGGCGGGATTCTCGCTTATTTCCACTAACAAGCCGCTTATAAGCGAAAACAAACGGGGCCTATATAGGCCACGAGATATCATGGATAGGCCGGCACGTACGTGGAATCTATAATTTATTTTTTTAATTAATATCTAAACACCCTATGCGACATCTTATATGATACCCTAAAATTTTACGTCCTAAATCTAAACTAGGCCTTAGTTTCTTTCCTTGAATGAACAGTGCATGCTTTGCTGATGCTAAAAGGCTGCTAAACAAGTTCTACGGTCTAGTTCTAGTATCTACGCACCACGCGCATCGTCAGAGGCAATGCAAGGACCACCGCAGAAGCTGCTGGAGGCGTAGCTCTGAGTCCAAACTCCCGGCCGGAATGCTCCAAAGCAACCAGCGCCCTGTTCACTTGGTTTATGAGTCGTACTTTTTTAACCGACGAATAATATTTTTCTCTTACAACAAATCAGCAAACAGTACTTTTAGCTATGTCTTATCAGCGAAACGATCGGGACAAAGAATCACATACACAAGTCACAACACACACCCATGGTCTCGACCATCCCGTCCTTCCCTGCAAATCCACAGCCGCTCGCTGTTTCGACGAAGCCCGCCGCGCGATAAGATCGAGTATTCTAGAATATATAATCCTGAAGAATAATGGAGGCTAGATCCAGATCTCGGATCCCTGTTCCGGGCGGCCACAAATTTATTCGTTCCCACAGTTGATGATCTGTCGAAACACCCACGTTCTTTTCTATCGGTGGATAGTCGCCGGCCGGTGGGTCGAAACGTATATACCAACAAAACCACGCATGGAGCCATGCCTATACCATGCCAAACCATGGATGCGTGCGTACGTCCAACAACCCGTGATCACTGCTCAGGACGGACTGGCCGGGAAGCCAAACGACGCTGCATACGACGGCGAGGGCTCCAGTCATGACAGATATTTCGGATCTCGTGCGTGCGTACGTGTGGCGTACGTACACCGTAGCAGTTTTCCAGGGCACGGTGCAGAACAAAAGGGAGGACCGACCGACAGACCACTGCACTACAGCCTACCGGGACCAGCTGGGAGCTAGGTAACCCTGACGAGACTGAGACTGGGACGCGCCAACTGTCGAATGATCGTCAAATCCAATGGGCCTCAGGTGAGTAGACTGTAGGAGTATGCGGTATGCCGCGGTATGCATGCATGCAGTAATGTCTGATTTTCAGTACAGTCGTTGAAGTCGGCTAAAATACGAATCCTATAGCATTCCGCGGATGCCTCGGCAGTCACCGTGAATAGAGTTTTGAGGTGGAGCCGTTGAGGCCGAGAACCCCACGGCAACCATCAACAACCGCACGCTGGTTTGTTCGTTCGCACTGTGCGGCCCGTGAGCGCGCCGCCCGGCCGATTCTCTCGCGCGTACCCCATCGCCCGGCCACCTCGCCTGCTGTGTGGTGTACTCCTCCTACTCAACCGAGCAGCTGGCGACGGGACGGGGACGGCACAGCTGGGAGCCTGGGAGGCGACGCTGCTGGGCCCCTGACAGGGGTCAAGATGATGGCGATGCGTCGGGCGCGTCGGCCCCATGGTCCGGGACTCCGGGCTAGCTTCCAAGCCATCCTCTCAGCTTTTTTCCTTGCCACGAGACACTACTGCCAGCTCAAGGCTCGAAGCAACGGTACGGTACCGCTCGCCCAGCGCCCAGCGGGCCTCCGTCGTCCACCTCCCAGGCTCACACTCCCACATGGGCTTACTCTGCCTACCGGCTTGATCAGTCAGAGCAAGCGAAATTAAATAAAGATCAGAATTTCCCCCCAAAAAAAAAAAAAAAAGATCAGAAATGCAAAAACAATTAGCTAGGGTAGTTAGTCAATAGTCATGCATGGATGAATGATGATTACACTGCGTGTGGTTCACTGGCATGTCCACCTCCTTCGTACTTGGGAGGTAGTAGATACCCGTGCATACTCCTATATATGCTGCTGCTGTGCCCAGCCCTGTAGGCCTGTACAAATGAACAGTTTTACAGTGAGCATATGATGTTTCTCGTCTCGTTCAGATTAGGTGCACTTGAGTAGTAAAAGTACATATCTGTTGGGACGGCATGGAATGAGATAACCTTTTACCAGAGTGAGACCAATTTTTCACTTCGCTGCCATGTTTATGTGCTCTTTCATTTAACATCCCAAACAGAGGCAGAGCTATACGACACATATCGATCGAGTACTGTGTGTGCCTAGAACTTAACAACAACGACAGTCGACAGGAATGAGAAAGCCCGGCCAGTGTTGTGAGCGACACTGAACAGTAAGCACAACTGCACAAGCAACTTAGGAATGCTCATCCGTTGGGCTACCACACCAGTAGCTTGGGGAGAGGTGGCCCAAGTATTCTGTGGTCGCCTTGCATTAGTGGGCCAGGAACTGGACGTACTTCTACTTATTACGAGCCAAAACATACAGATATGGTTAAAGGATAGAAGTACCAAATTTTTATGTACGGCTGTATTTTGTTATCTCTTGGTACATCTACAAGGGACATAAAAGACATGTGAAAAAAAGGGGCTATGTGAACCAAACAATCATACATCTACGTGCACATACTAGCTCGATGGTGGATAAATATAGGGAGTGTTTGGATAGAAATGGCATTTTGTATTGTCCATTATCTTCTCACTTCTTATTATCTTTTTCTTTTTCCTTTCTGGTTTGTGGAATAGAATTGATAGAACCACCACATCTCATCTCAGGTGGAGATATACAACTTGTGTTCCAAGGTGGTGTATTTACCTATATTAATGCTTTTCAAATGGCATGCGATGAAAGAATGGACTAATACTAGGCCATTTCTAGTGCATTATTATTATGTCATACATGACAAGGGGCACATGTGATATTTTGGTGAGATTTCATAGAGTTAACAAGGAAGTGAGAGAAGAATTAATTAGTTGTATCCTCGAGATGAGATACAACTTGAGCTATATATTTAAGACTAGGAAAACTTGTATGGTCTTTGGGCCCTATGCCGGTAGAGATGTAACAATTCATGGACTTGAGATTTCTAATAAGCTATATACTAAGATATTATGTACTCCATCTGTCCCGTGATAAATAACTTTGCAAAAAAAATATACAAGAACGTTGGCAAAAAACGCATATACTCTTGTCTCCTCTTTCTCAGAGGATATCTCCTAGATCTGGTAGTTATCATTTGTATCACTGATGATTAGCTTCTGTATTAGGAGGCAATGTCCTAAGTTTTTGTGAAAAGTTATTTTTGAGAAAAAAATTATATCAGAAATTTATTTCTTTCAAGATGGAGGGAGTCAAACGTGAGTTGTATATATCTTACTTACAGCCTATTTGCTGTGGCACCCACACCGGCTCCGCCCCCGTCATGCAGCGGACAGAGCTGCACCAAACGAGGCCACGAGGAGAAACGCTTTGGCACTAAACATGAAGCCGGAGCCGTTTTATGTAGCAAAACCTAGCTACGTCGCACTACGCCAGTTCTTCACATCACTGTCGGTTCAAAAACCCACTTCACTGGTGGATTTTGAACTGACAGTGGCGTAACGGCAGTGATGCCTCTTGGCTATCAGTGTCGGCACTTCACCCGGCAGTGATAAGCTTTAAAAAAACAAAAAAAGTACAGCAAGCAAGCTCGCTGCCTACCGCCGCCACCGCCATGCTCGATGGCTCCCCCCACCATCGCTCCATCAAGCAGTTCATACAAGAAACAACTCATACATCACAGACAAATGAGGAGGGATTCAACACAACACAAATCAACTCATCCACAAATCGAATCGATTCATACATCACACAGAAGGGTTCAACACATCACAAATCAACTCATCCACAAATTGATTCATACAACATAAAGTGAGGGGAGGGGGAGAGAGTGGAGATTCTGCAGGGAAGGGTGAGCTTGGTCTCATGCCCGAGGCCGCCCCTCGCCGTTCAAACGCAAGATCTGAAGCCGCGCCCCCATTCGCCGCCCCCAAGACAGATCTGAGGAGAAAGAGTGTGAGAGAGGAGAAAGAGCACCGGGAAGGAAAAATTGCCGGGGAAGAGAAAGAGTACCGTGAGCCACCGGCGCTTCTCATCCTCCCGCTGCCGAGGTGGATCCACGCGAGCCGCCCGTGGTCGCCCGCCCACCCACGCTTGCGCCGGTCACCCGAGCCGCGCTCGCGCCGGTCACCGGGAGGAAGAAGCTCGTCGCCGGGTGGATCCGCTCGCCAGCGCCAGGAGGAAGAAG